TCTTGTCATTCTATGTGCGATGCCAGCACGCTAGCTGTGGAAACTAGGTGACCAAGCCTCGCAGAGAACGTACTCTGTACAGCCCACCTTGCCTCTGGTTAAGATCAACTTTGAAGGTTGGCCTACAGTGCGCCCTAAAAGATAGATGTGCGCCACCTCGAAGATCTTGATCCTTGTCATGTGCGAGGAGCATGATTCCGCAGTCGTAGAAGTGTGCCACTCTCCTCACTTGAAAGTGCGCAGAAATGAGTCCTGATGGGGAGTAAGTAATGACAACTAAACACCGTTCAGAACTGCACTAAAGCATAAGTTAGCAGACACGCAACCAGGGCGCGCCATCGCGTTGTGATCATTTGAATACGACCCCGCCCCCAAAAGGGTTTTAGTACGACCCCTCCCCTCCCATGTCGCAAGGGTACAAACGCAAAAGGGACGAAGAAAATGACAATAAAGAGAACTAGGCACTATTGAACTATTCCTACCCCAAGAACTCAAAAAATTTGCTGAAACTTTGTCTATAGATGTTATTCGATGTCTTTATCACGAGCATGACATCATTCTCCATACCAGCGCTATTTAGCGCTCAGAACGGTAAAAGGAAGATTCTCTTCAGGCCAGGCTCAGTCTTAGCAAAGCGCAGATGACCTGTCGTACATTAACGCCGGCGCCAAGACTAAATGTCATATTCGTAGTCAGGATGTCAAATAAGCCCCCGTATACAAGTTTTCATCGATTTTGGTGATTCAGGGCATTTTGGCCCCGGCGCCTGTGGCGCGGCGCCAAAATACCCTAAATCACCAAAATCGAATGTTTCGGGCAAAGCGGATGTGATATTCGTGTTCAGGAGGTTGAAATACCACTGTAACCAAACGAATCTGCCCTCCTAGAAAAAAAATCGATAAAAGGCAGCATCATTTTTGCAGACTGCGGTAGGAATAGTTCGACAGCGCCAAAAATTACAACACAAGTCAGAAAACTAATAAGAAACAAAAGAGAAACCCAAAACCACTATCAAACAAATGACGAGAAAAAAAATAACTCACCGGAAATACCAGAAGCGAGAACTATGGACTAGCCTTTGGATATTGGTTGTTCGCGCTCATTCAGAGGTTGAGCGCGCTAATACAAAGGATTGAAGCGAGCTATTCACGACCTGGAGCCAGTTTCAAGCCAAACACTCGAAAAGTCACCTCACTTGAACACCCATAACTTATTTGAGAGTAAAGCTTTTGGAG